GACTTTATTCAGCAATTGCAATAGGTTCACTCACAGGCTCATTATCAGTTGCAGGCTGCTGTTACTGAGTATAAGCGTGCCGTGGATCTTAAACACTGACATGTTGAATTTGAGGTAGATGACTTTGTTTGGGCGGTGTTAACAAAAGATCGTGTTCCTGCTCATGAATACAACAAGCTTACTGCGAAGAAAATTGGTCCATTGGAGGTCATTGAGAAGATCAATCCGAATGCTTACCGTTTGAAGCTACCCAGCCATATTCGTACATCCGACGTGTTGAATATCAAGCATTTGGTGCCATTTCGTGGTGATAATTCTGATGATGATGAAGCTCCTTTCCCGTCAAATTTGAGGGCGAATTTTTCCCACATTGGGAGAGAATGATGAAGTGCATAATGGATTAAAGTTTATGATGAAATAGGACTGTCGCAAGGCAAAATAATGGATTTTTATTTCATGATAACTTCGGGTTTGTTCGTTTTTTGCGAATTGCTAGTCTAATTCGATTGGAATCGAACCAATGAATAAAATTCAGCGCCTTTGGCCCTGACGCAAGGCCAATTTTGGGCAAAATCCATCGTTTAGGCGTTTTTTGCTATTTATGATAATTTTTGTTTTTGCAATATCTCTTTCCATAAAATTCGAATTTGTATTCCGTTTGCTGAACGATGATCCTGAAGATAAGAATTTTCTATCTTTGTAGTTATCTCATATTTTTCTATTTTTGAAAAAATATCTTTTTTATTCTATTTTCTGAATTTTTCTAGGTTTTTTTCTATTTAAGACGTTGTAAACCCTTTGAGACGGCAGTTCTGAAATTCAATAAAAAATTTCTCGAGAGTTTTCTCATTTTGTGATTGTTCATCTTCCCTATAATCTTCCTCTACGTCAAAATTTTATATAATTAGACATCATTTTCCTATTTTCGTATTTATACACATTTCACTTTGTCTATCAATCTCAACTCACATTTCAAAATTTTTCATATCAATCGAGATAAGAATATATCATTCAAAGCAGTAAATTCTTATTTCTTGATATTTATATAAATTTTAGCATGAAATACTCTAAGACTTTCGGGTCGACTGCTACGTTAAATCTTACCGGATGTACCGTTTGGTCAATGATGTTAAATCCTAAGGGATTGATCATTTGGTCAGATATATTAAATTCTACGGGATGTGGGGATTCTTAAAAAATTTCTTAAGCTCTAAATCTAAAAAATGTCAGTATGTTATGTCAGTTTTATATTTATATCATGTGAATAAGAATGTGCACATACATATTTTTACCGAATGTTTTCAAAATATTCACTCTTACTAAAATTTCAAATTAGAACGGATCATGTGGAAAATTGACAGAGCGATGCTTATTGGGTCGCCAAGTAAATTTTTCAGAAAATATAATTGGCAACTTTTATTTGAATAATATCTTTATTTTAATACACGTTATTTAATATTCGACATTTTATATTAAATCTTAAATTAATAGTTTCGAATAGAGTATTTCAAGAATTATATTTAAAATGAAAATTTTACTAAAGTCGCCATTTTATCATTATCGAATTATCACTCACATTTTCAAATTTCAACACTTAATAAAAGTGATATTTTCGCTTAAATTAGATGAAGAAGATTTTGGTAATACCTCGTGCCTATTTTTATAAAAGAATAAAAAAATGAAGATGAAAAAGATTTCGGGCGTTACAGTAATTATGTTCAAATGCCAATATGATGCAGCGACATATTCTAATTATAATTAACACTTCAAAATTTGTTTAATATCGAAAATTGGGTAAATACAAAAAAATAATAATAATAAATTCTCAAACAATTTTAATATAAAATCAATCGAAAACCAATACAAAGTGACTGCTGATCACATTTCAATAGAATCCTAATTGCTAATGTATAACATAATTGCACTTATGCTAATGTTCCCCTATATCTTCTAAAAGTAATTATTAAATCATAATTTAATAAATAATAAAACAACTAAATAAAAATCATAAAATTAAAAATATTAAAAATATAAATCGTCAAGTCATAGAGGAGTCATAGTTTTAAAAAAAGATATGGCATATAGATGTCTAGTCAAAGATGGCTCTACAAATTCATAAAATGAGAATAAAAAATAAGGCATGTGTACATGAATATAATGAGACAATAATACTGGCGAGCTGCCATGTGCTTAAGACGCCACAATCGGATGTATATATACAATTAAAATGATTTGTGGTAATAGATAAATCTAAAATAGAAATTTCATTCAATTAAATCCATGGTATTAAAAATTAAATTGAAATGCGAATCAAGCTTAATTAATCGCACAAAAAAAAAAAAACACTCATCAACTTATAAATAGCTTATGTTCATCATTTAAATGGACATTACAAAAAGAATTTAAAAATAAAAGTAGAGAGAAAAAGAACTATATTATCTTTTTAGCATAATCAAAAATTTCGTCAACAACCAAAACAGCCATATTTTTTTGTAGAATTTATCTAACGCAAAATGATTTTTCCAAAACTCCAATGCTCAACATGAACACATTCACATACCTGAGAATCGTCTAGACTATTTTCGAGCTTTGAGAACCTCTAACCCACAACAATTTGCTTTAGTTGACAACAATTCGCTTTAGTTGACAACAATTCTTACATTTAGTCCACAACAAATTGTTTTCATTGACAACAATCTTAGAATGAAAAATGTTGATTTTTATAGCTATAATAGTTTTATTTAGTTTCATATCATGAATATAGCGAAAAATAATTAAGGACTTAAGTGTAAAAATGAGCAAAGATTATAAATGTTTATTGCAGTTATAATGTTATTTAGTTAATAAAAAAATTTGTGGGAATATAATTACCCTATCATTTGGTATTCCTTTTTATCTAAGATAGGGTATCATGGGGATTCATAAGTAACTACGAATTAAAACAACTTTTAAATAAGAGTAAATATAACGTAAAATGAAATTTTATCAAATTATATAGTAACATTCGGTATGCATTAATTTTATTACATAAATATATTATTTAGTTGTAAGGATATATGTAAAATAACCAAATGAAACGGTCATTTAAATAAGTGAATATGGATGTTATCTTTTTAAATTGATTAATTCAACCAAGGGAAGAAATATGAGCTATATTTTTATAATAAAAGTTGTTAATAAAATTAATATAATATTAAAAAATTAATTTAGGGAACTATGAACAAATGGAAAAGAAAAGATTTTTTTTCTTTTTTTAATTTCATGTTGAATAAATTGAATTATTGTTATTAATTAATTATTAACAAAACTAAAATTGAATAAAGGTATATTGGGCATTTAGCTAAATAGGTAGGGAATTAATGTTATTGATTAATTATTAACAAACTAAAATTAAAAAAGGGTATAATAGGTATATAGCTAAATATGTAAGGGTAAATTAGGTATTCAAAAGTTTATCCTCAATCCTCCATTTTAATATATAGTAGAGTAGTATATGTTATGTGCGTGCAAGTGATTTCGTAACAATGAGTTAAGTAATCTGTTTGATATTTTATATCCCGAGAGATGCTGTATGTACAAATACAGACATTTTACAAACCACACACAGCTCATTTTTTGGCACTATTTTATTCCACATGGAACGACTTTTGTAAGGCTTCTGTCAAAAATTTTTTGTACAACCATAATTATTGTTTATGTCCCTCCCTTTATTTTCGTTGAAAATTCTCCAATAGTCAATTGTACCACAATAACCAACCATTTATATTGAAATCGAGAAAGAATATTTATTTTGTCATAAATCTGAAAGATAGTTCTAAAAAATCAAATCATGACAAAACATACAGTCTTTTATAGGGGAAAAAAAAGGAAGAAAAATATGGAATAAATACAAAATTTTCTAGCTAGCAATGGGTAAAAATATCGTAGCACCAAGTTCAACTGTTCAAGCAAAGAAAGTGAACAAATACATTAATTTGTAACTCATAAAATTTAGTGAACAAATAAATTAAGTTGGCCATGGGACATATCGTAACCTAGAATGGGAAAGTAGGCCACTTCTAATAGATTGATAAGCAATTGGTGTACCACCCTCGCCCATTATTATTTTTTTCCACGCAACAAATTACGAAAAAAGAAATAAAAGAGACCATCTGCAAAGATTAAAGGACAAAAAGAATTGTACCAACATTGGTTTGAAGTTTTAAATATTTCATAAATGGTCACCGAAGTTATTTTCCTATAATGGTGGTCAATAAAATTAACGCTACATCAACGATTACTTGCTCAAAAACATTGACGTTAATTCTTACGTGATAACATTTAATGTCATTATGTCATCAAACGAATTTATTTATTATGTCAAGTTAGCAAAAAAAAAAATTATAAAAAAACAAGATTTTGCCATACGATTTCAGCAAAAAATTTGACCAAAATTAAAGCAGCAATACGCTTTCTCATCCAAATTTGTTTAATCTTAAATTCGTAACTCTCGATTTTGCCGACTTGGCATAATAAATAACGAAATTTGGTGACATGTCGGCACTTAATGTGCTATATTGGATTTAACACTAATATTTTCAATTGAATTACCACAATTTATAAATAACTCTCAAACATGTGTTCACAATATATAAGAATTGACAGCCGAATGGAGTAAAGATGTCTATTCAAATCATCTATCCAGTAAGCACATATTTGGCTATCATTTATAATTTATTTATAATAGTGGAATAACATTTTATTCACATATTTTACAAAACCCATAAATAATAATCTACACATAAATTTCATCTATTCATAAATAACCCCAAACATGAGATTGTACTTTTTTAGCACGTTTGATGTTGAAATCAAAATAAGATTTGAGTTAGTAATCACGGACACGGACACGGACACGGACACGGACACGGATACGGATGTGTGAATCAAATTGAACTTTTCTTGGTAGCGCCCCCAAATCAGAACTTTCCGCGGATATTTTAGTTTCAAAAATAGAAAAGTTTGGCTCTAGAATTCAGAGAATATTATTCCTATGTTTCAGTCAATTTATAAAAGATTTACCTGTGGCCGATATTGTTAAATTCCATTGACCAAAATTCAAGATTGTTCGTAAATATCAAGAAACCAGATACGGGACATAGACGTTGGAAGTATTCACAAATGCAGGCATGCAAATTCTATCCCACTTTTACATTCCATAAACAATCATTCATTTTGTTTTGTTTGCTCAATCTATTTTCTTTATTTCAGGGTCTCGATATTTTCCACATAAAACTTGTATTGATTACAGGGTTCCTCATTGGCGTCTCTTCCTGTCTCAAGGTTCGATGAATCCGAGTAAAAAATTCCCTAAAATTACGTTCTTTTCCATTAATTTTGACAATATTGACAGATTGGAGAAACTTGTTCTTCTTCGAATGATAACTGCGATGCCGGATTAACCTGTGGAACTTGCCCTGCAAATGACAACACCCGACCACGATGCACTCGCATCCACCCCATAATTCCCACTACTAAGGTTCGTTTTATTATATTACTTATATTACATGTAAAAAGTTTGGAAATTTTTGATCGAGTTCTGAGTTAATTTTGTTGGTGTTTTCTGGAAAAAAAGGTAAACGGGTTGCCGTTTAATAAGTATTCATGGCTGACGACTCACAATTCGTTCGCTCGGACCGGGTCAAACTCTGGTACCGGGTCTGTTCTTCTCGGTCCGGCCAATCAGGAAGATTCCGTCACCGATCAGCTCAACGTATGTAAAATTATTTTCTTTTTTTGATGGTTATTATTCAAAATTTAGAACGCTAATAAAGTAAATTGATAATCGGTTATCTTGCAATAAATAATTGCCAGTTGTTAAGACATGTTCTATTTCCTTTTCATTTGTTGAGATATATTTGATGGTTTCTCTGTTAGATTTATCAATAAAGTCTGTTAATTTTGTCAAGAAGCAAAAGCTACTACTTTAAAAACAAATGATTAGGTTTGAGAATATAATTGCCGCTCAAGTTTTTGCTTTGGATTGGAAAATAAGCATCTTATGGTTCTCATGAAAACTACTAGTCATATTTCCACTTTGGGTAATTGATATTAATCTTTTGGTTTTTTTGGCTGAAAAACTTTTAACTTATCTCAATTCATATTCTTCTTTCGAATCGGGGATTGATGGGGTTTTATTCAATCACTTACATCACACAAAACCGAAGATTTATCATCTTCTGAAATTTGGTTGGAGCTGAGTGACTAATGTAGCCAAGTGTCTGTTAATCAACATTGATGACTTTATGGTGACAATTACATAACATAAATGTATAAGTTGAATCTTACTTTTGCATGTCATCGTATCCGAGTTGTTTTGAGCTGTCAAATGAAATTAAGTAGCAAACTAAGATCTGTTCTTTTTGTAGAATGGTGTTCGAGGGCTTATGCTCGATATGTATGACTTCAACAATGACATTTGGTTATGTCATTCATTTAATGGGAGGTGTCTTAATGTAACCGCGTTTGTAAGTATGGCAATGCATTCAGATTTGCAGAATTGCAGTGCATTTTTTTATTTTCTGAAATGCTGATTCCGTGCCTTTTTTTTTTTTTTTCCAATTAATTCCCAGGAACCTGCTATTAATGTGCTGAAGGAAATTCAGATTTTTCTTGAAAATAACCCGAGTGAAGTTATCACCATCTTCATTGAGGACTATGTGACTTCGCCACAGGGCTTGTCAAAAGTTTTCAATGCATCTGGGCTGAATAAATACTGGTTTCCAGTGGCTCAAATGCCTAAAGCTGGTGAAGATTGGCCCACAGTGGATGATATGGTCCAGAGGAATCAACGTTTGGTAGTGTTCACCTCTAAATCATCCAAGGAGGCTTCTGAAGGAATTGCTTACGAGTGGAAATACGTGGTGGAAAGTCAATGTGAGTTATGATGATATTCCTCAATTTTACTATTAATACACTTGATAAGATTTTCCAAAGATGAAGTTTGTAATATGCATAACGTGAAACGACTTTTAGAATTCATTGCAGAAAGAAGTCCTAAAAGAGTACTATGATGGTAGTAATAGCCTATAACAATTCTAATATTGATGACAGTACTTATTACAGCAATTGAACTTTATAATTCAGAATGATTTTGGAAACATAACGCTTTCTACGTTGCAAACTTTGACGTTCTCCTATTTCGTTTCTTAAAAATCTGTACAAGGAGTCAATACTGAACTTTTGGTATATTTGCAGATGGAAATGAAGGGATGATTGCCGGTTCGTGTCGAAACCGTGCAGAATCATCTCCCATGAGCACATCATCAATTTCTCTGGTTCTTCAAAATTATTTTACTACAAATCCCAATGTAACAGAAGCTTGTGTCGACAATTCTGCACAGCTAATTAGTATGATGAATACTTGTCATGAAGCAGCGGGCAACCGTTGGCCAAATTTCATAGCAGTTGACTTTTACCGGGTACAAACTGATGGACACTCGAGAAGTTTCTTTTGACAAAATCTGCTCGAAGCTAAGACATTTTTACTGAGAAAAGGAAAAATAACCGAGTTTTCTGTTTGCAGAGGAGTGACGGAGGGGGAGCCTCAGAAGCTGTTGATGAAGCCAATGGACATTTGACCTGTGGCTGTGACAGCATTGCCTATTGCAAGGTATGATGATTAATCATGATTTGAGTTCCATTAGTTTACTGAAAAAATTTGAATGCACATTTCAAAATTATGAATGGTCAGATCCAAAGGTATATGGCAACTAGTCTTCTGTAAACTTCATTGAAGAAAGTTCTACTTCTACACGAGCTTTTACATTTTCGCTTGATTTTTATAATGTTCATCAAATATGGCAGGCAAATGCGACATTCGGAACATGTGACGTCCCTGCACTTTCTCCTCCGCCACCAGCAAAATTATCACCTGCAGGAACGTCACCAGAACCCAGCAGCAATTCTTTGATAAGCAAACCACTCCACCCTTATTACTTCCTTTTGATAATATCAACTGTTGTTCTCCAGCTGTGCCATTAATTGCTAATTGTTTGGGGAAAGTTGCTTTCCCATGTTGGGCAATCCTTTTGTTTGTATCTAATCATTAATGAGGGATCAAAGGGCAATTTTTTTTTATTTTTTTAAGAGTGACGTCTCTGTGGTGACGGATTTATCAGTGCCAACTTATCTTACCTTGTGACCTTCCACTAGAGTTGCATAGGAATACAAATTCAGTTATGCCATTGCAAGACAACATTGTCACTGTAACTATTTCTATTGAAACTTCTAAATGAAATTCTGAACCTCAATATGAAACTACAATGTTTGAGCTTTAAGTTAAATTTTCCATTTAGCAACTAAAATTCATTGTACAGTCCATGCAATTATTATTTTGGTTTACTTATAGGAGGAAGTTGCAAATTGTTACTGTTGGAAGAATTTTGTGAATAGTGACGCCGAAATAAGTATAATGATGGTGACAAAGTCGAGGCAAGAGTTGGACTCTTTGTCCTTAAGTCGAATTTGCCCCGCAACGGTGCCTACGGATTTCGGCAATCGACTCCTAAGATACAACGGCTACACTTGTGTTTGTAGCACTCCAAAACACAAGTACAACGAACCAATTCTGTCGATCCCCGTTTGTGCGCCTCGAAGCGGCGAAGTGGCAAACAATTTTGCCTAAACGGATTGAGTCGAGCTTTTGAGTATTTGGCCGAAGTCGATACGAACTTTAATCGATTTTTAATTCTCGATTTATTTAACCAATATCCAACAGTTACTTAATTCTAATTAGGAAGGGTGAATGTTTTTGGGCTATTGCTGACCAGATCAGTAATGCCTATAGTTGATTTCTATCTAATGTATAGCAACGAAAGAAAGTGAATTCGACCCGACCCGTGCTTGACCTGCCACTTTGGCCGTCTCTGTTAGGCTTCATTGCACGATAAGTTTGACATAAAACCATAGCCAAAATTGGTTTTGAATCCATCTGTCGAGCTGCAATGCTGTTGGATGTGCGGCATTCAACTTCCAACTTGTATCTTCCTCCAGTCCCATAGTGGAGATAATGTAGACTTCAGGGGATCGAAAAATTATCGTATCAGTGAAAATTTTGGGTTCTTTTCCAGATGTTTAGGCCTTCAAGGCAGATTATAAAAAAGAATTGCCTCTAGATGATAAAGCCAATTGAAATAAAGTGGTTTGGTATTTTTTATGTGTTATGTAGACCGTGAACATAGAGGAGGTTTTGAATTAGACAACATTGAACACAATTGTGCAATTCAAATTTTCTATTCGAAAATCACCAACACAATCTTGACGTCTGTCTTTTCCATTGAAGGAGTGTGAACACTCCTCATACCTTAGTTGCAAAGTCCACAAGGGATTCTCATGATGGTGAAAAGGCGATGAACTCATTCCATTCGACACTGATTCTCAATCCGATAAGGTTGACGGGACATCACTCCCAGGACTCCTCCACCATGTACTCTGGCTCTCTGAAGCCTAGATCACAAAAATCAAGTAATGGTTCGAGGCGGCACCACCACCACAGAAAGTGTTGGAGAAATTACATCGATATCTGCATTTATTATATTCCACAACATATCTTTATATCCACAAGAAAAACAAAGAAAGTGTTGACATACGGAAACTGAATATATGAAGACGAATTCAAGCATTTGCATTCTTCATTAAAAACCAATTCTTTTTTCAATTAAAACCTTTCTAAATTATCAAAATAAAGTTAACATCTCTGAAGTGAAAACACAACTTAAAAGGAATCAAAAAAATAGAAATGCAAGTGATAGATTTGGTCGAGGCAAGTACTTGACATTTTCTCTTTGTGAGAAATTTGCCCTGCATTGGTGCTAACGGTTTCCGCCAATCATCTCCCAAAATGTGAAGACCACGTCTTGCAATATGAGCACTCCAAATTATGTAGACCAACGATTTTGAAATGATATTTTTCTCTCTACCAGGAAATGACTTTTATGCGAGAAAATACACTATGATGAAGTGTTTTTATGCAACATAAATGAATTGAATGAAACATACAAAAGGACACTACCTCTAAAAATTTAGCACTATACATGAAGAGACACACCCATTGGAATAATACCAAAAGTTGTGATCTTTCATAAGAAAAGACACACCCTTTCATCCAAATATTTTTTAGAATATTCCATAATATTCTATACGATTTCTCAACAATTTCAAGTATTTAAGCGGCTTAAATTTATCTGAATTTCTGATTCATCAAATAATGAACTTTACAATAATTATTTAAAATTGGTCAAATAATGAACTTTACAATAATTATTCAAAACCAATTTTCGATTCAAAATTTCCAACAGTACGGTCGATTGGTGAAGCCCAAGTTTCATAGAAGGATCCAATGCTCTGTGGTTATGGATCGAAAATGAAAGTCGCTCTTTCTTTGAAGAGTAACTGCACTTACAAGTAAATTATGGGCTGGAAAACAATTGGGCTTCGTAAAAAATCATGTTCATATTTTTTTGTTAAAACAGTGCTGAATTGATGTTCAGAGTCAAATTTATGGGCCTGGGCCAGGAGTTGACAGGCCTTCAATAATGGTCAGTGATGATGTCAGAGATTCTGGAAAATCCAATATTTGTTTTTGCATTACAGCCCGTACCTTTATTTTTTTAATTCCCAGAAAAAAAAAATAGAACTAAAGAAAGCATTGCCGATATGGCCATCTTGTCCGTAAAAGTAGATTTACGCTGAGTATACAGAATAAAAATGCACAGATAGTGTACAGAAGCCTCACATTTAAGGTGGGCCCCACATGATTATTTTATTGTAAAAAAACCACCCCAGTCCCACCCTACCCCCAGCTGAGTGTTTTCTGTAAGGCTTCTGTACATATATCATAGTTCGTAAAAGTATTGCCAACATTCACATTTAAGAAACTGGTACTTGAGATAGAAATGCGTCAACTTAAAGATCTAAAGGTGATCAACACCAAGGATAATATCTATACTCTTTTTCCTTCGCTCATATTTTATCCTACTATTATTATTATTAGTATTTTTTTTTTTTTTGCAAAGTTTTAATGAGACGTCATTTGTTTAATACTCAAAAAAATAACTGTATTCTTTTTTTCTTGAAACTCTTATGATTTTATTGTCTCGTTGCAATAAATTAATTAATGAAGAGGAAGTTGAAGCTAAAAACGAGTCACATAATAAGCAAATGCAATGATTTTTTAAAATGAAAATGATATTAAATTCAATGAAATCCGTTTAAGATATAAAAATTATATTTAAGTTACGAACAAACTTGACAAAAACTAGAATTGCTCAAACAATTTTGGTAAGAAATTTTCCGTACAGACTTATAAATTAACATTCTTATCTTTCATTTTGTTCATGATATAATTTTTTATTAATATTTAATTTTCACTTTTTATTAATTTATTTATCGATGAAATTTTATTTCATAAATTAAATTTGTTAAATCATTTACATTTTGAATGTTACAAACTAAAACAGCTTGTAATTTTTAATTATCTTGTTTAATGTTGTTAATTATTGATTGATTTTTTCATAGTAAAACTAAAGGTAAAATAAATTTTATAAAAAATGGTATTTGAGCCGACTTAAAAAATAAATCACGTGTCCCGTCAGACAAATTGAGCTATCATATATTAAAAATTAATTTTTTTAGGATTTCTTGTCATGCCAGCCCCTTTCTTTGACATGTTACAACTTGCGAACTCCCATCTCCAACAAGATTCACCGTCCCAAGATCTTCGGCACAAACAACACCACAACAAATTGATGGGTCGTTGTCATAACATTTAACTCGTGTTTGGGCTCCATTTTAACCCGTGATCGATGTTCATTCGTTCATCTAAATGAATTTTGTAATAGTAAATTTTTTGAAAATATATGATTAAAAATTAGGAAAAGATTTTAAATTTACATATAAAATATTTTATTGTGAGAATATATGGTTGGAAATGAGTTTTAAAATAATGGAAATCAAATATGGGTAATGAAAATTCGAGGGAAAATGAGTTTTGGAATAGTGGTATTTTGAAAAATATATAAAAAAAAAAATTCGATTTACGTATAATATTATTTTACGAAAGAATGTGTAGTTGAAAATGAGTTTTGAAAAAATAAGGTCAAACATAGGCTTAATTTTCTCAAGAAGTGCGTAGTTGTAAAAGTTGGAATACATTGTATTTTTCTACATATCGTGAGATTAATTTAAGATTTTATTTGGAAATATGAATTCTAAAATTCTTTGAAGAGATATTTTCATTGCACAGAAAATAACGAAATAAAATAAATAATTTTTTTTAGTGATATTCTATTTATTTTACAAACTATCCATGTATAAGATCTTAAAACATTACTATGATGATTTTGATAATATGAATATTTTCTCGAAACTAAATATTTCCTTTAATTCCTTTGATTTTCCCACCTCCCATGAGTTAAGTTTGCAAGAATGCAGATAGACATGCATTTGCTGCATCAGACTCGACAAAACAATTGCAAATGGATTGTATGTTACTTAGAATGTTCACATGGGGTGTTGTTATGTTTAGTAAGATGACCCTTAATCTAGACATTCATTTTAAATTATGCTAAAGACGTGATCTTTTAGGGTAGGCTATATCATATTAATCAATTTTATGAAATAATGATAAATAAATAAACCACATGGCCCAAATTTTGCCCACGGTTGGAATCGGGTCTTGTTGATGCCTAAGATCAGCTGCCACTAAGGTTTAGGTCTTATTCCTCGATTACTCATGTGTTGAGAATTAGAAATACAAAGTCTATACCATCAAAGTAATAAAATTGTAATAAAAAAAATAAAAGAACAATAAAAATTTATTGAGTTACATTTCAATGTGAGACTACTTTCTCGTCTATCGCTACAATAATTCATTATCAATTCGTATTCTGACTTCGCATAATGATAATAAATTCAGCTCCACATTTTAACATCTTGAGCATTTTGTTATCATTAATTATTATCTGGTAATATTATTCATGATAGACTCAGAAAAACATAATCGATTCAATTTAAGAGAAAAAGAAGAAATCAGCTTTAAAAAGTGTATTGTGGCTTTAGGAGCGGACCCACATGGTGTCATGTGGCGTCAAATGACCCAAATTTTTATTTTTTATTTCACAAAAAGTAGCTGTTTTGATCCCTTTAAGACCTATTTTGATTCACTCATTATATGATGTCAAATGAAGTCGAAACCTTGCATTCTTAATACCATTTTCAAAGGCTCACGCTTTAGTTTTTTGCTCATTAATGACGTGCAAAACAACCAACTGTAGCAAAAATTGCAACACATCAAAGCTGACCGTTCAAGACTAATATTTTAAGAATTTCGATAATATACTAACTTTCAAAATTTGTCGATGATCATATACTATTCGAATATACAAATTGTCTACGTTATCTAGAAACTCATTTTGAAAACTACATCGTAGTTATATTGAATTGTCCAAGTGTAAATAAAAATAATTAAATATGTGTTAAACGTACGTCTTAAAAATGGCTTCTAACAAGTATTTTCTTTGAAAAATTTCAATAATTTAATTAACGTTTATTATTTTTGTACAATAATTTTTTCAATATAATTTACAAATTTTTATGAAGAAAATTTACATGTAAAATAACATCAAAAATTCTAGGATTGTTACTAATTAAATGTTATTTGAATTACTCTCGAATTACTTTCGCATTAAATGCAAATTTTATTTCAATTCATTTACATTCAATTTGATTTACTCGTCGTCCATTCAATATTTGTCAACAAAATTGTGAACAAAACTATACAAGTAGCAAAATTCAGTTATTAACATTGATAATAATATAATTATAAGACGTTTTCAAAGTATCAAAGAGTGTAATAATTATTTTCATCAATATTATATTGTTTTTTTTAAATTACATTTTAATTTTTGAATCCATAAAATCAAGGGTCTGGGTCCGCCCCTGCCGGTGGCTTGTTTATCGATTATGTGTGCACAAATTTCAGGCTGTCTATTGTTTATTGGATTATTTCTACTGTTATCTTGGATTATTGATACGAATAGGAAGTTGCATCTTGCAAGTTGCAATAAAGCAGCAGAATCCAGTATTATCTCGCAAGTAGAAAATGGCAATTGGGCAAAATATCAATACTGTTGCCTAACACATCCAAGCAACACCGCAACTCTCATTTTTTCCAAACTAAAAAAATAAAAATTAAACTATAAACTAAAATAATGTTATATTATTCACATCAAAACTGAACTGTACAATAAAGGTATCAGATTCTGAGTCTCCAATCAGTATCCTCCTATGAAGTCAGAAAGTGCATGTATCCCTCTCTATCAAGTTTTATGTACAACAGAAAAAATTATCCTCCAAATTGAACACTAAATAAAAATAAAAATTCAATGCCTGGAGAATAAAATCTTCAAAAATAAAAAATAAAATAAAAATGTGAATATGACTAGTCTTTTCTTCTATCACCTAATGGTGATCCAATCATCTGAAACAGACCAATCAGGTTCTTGATGGCCTACTAACCCTTGCAGCCTCTCGTCCGGAGAAGCGGACCAGGACTCAGTTGTCAAATTTGAGTTGCCGGAAAACCAGAGATTAGATTCTGGGGAATATTCTGCAGAAGATGTAACTGATGATGCCCAATCAGGGAAGTCAAATGGGCATCTGGGAGACGTGGAGGCAATATTTTTAGCGTCACCAAGATCTTGATCCACAACAAATGGATGATTTAGAAGCATCTCAGCCGTCCATCTATTACTTGGGTCCTTCACAAAGCATTTGTCAAGAAAATCTTTTCCCTTTCCTGATAAATTACCTGGTACCTCAGGTACCTCCTCACCAACCCCAATTCTCATCAGCAGCGCCGCCAAGTTGGAGCACCGCCACGCCGGTGTTCCAGTGACCATCTCCGCCACCACGCACCCAAGTGCCCATATGTCAGCAGGGGTACCCTGCTCGCCCCCGGCGACCATCTCCGGTGACATATACAGAGGTGTGCCCCTTAATTCATAACTAGAAACACCCTCTTTTTCACCTCCGGCCCTCTTCGCCAATCCAAAGTCCGCAATCTTTAAGCCACCATCTGGGCATAAAAGAATGTTCTGAAGCTTAATATCACAGTGAACATAACCAACCTTGTGAATATAGTGAAGCCCTTTGAGCAAAGCTTTAGTGTAACCACGGACTTCAGATTCCGGCAGCCTCTGATCACAAGAATTCTTTAATTTATCGGCCAAATTGCCACCGGAAGCATACTCCAACAATACATTGTATAATTTCTCGCCGTTTTCATAACTAAAACTTTCTCCGAAGCAACGAATGATTTCTGGGCAATCCTCAAGCTCGTCCAGTACCAATTTCTCGTTCATCAGTGAAGTAGCTTGGGAAACCCCACAAGATTTCACGGCCATTAAAGGAGTAACTTGAGAGCTTTGTTTTATGGGCACTGCTAAATTAACACTCCCAAAACTTCCAGAGCCTAATTTTTCACCGCGAACCCAATCCATGACCACTGATTTTGCTTGCCTTTTGGCGAGAAGGGAAAGTATGGAAAGAAGAAGAAAACAGAGTTCTTGAACTAACTAATTAATTGGAGGACTTCTATTTATACGAGAATTTTGGGTTGGGAAGTTGGTTTGTATAGATTCATTGTATGTATAAACGTGCGTGTGATTTGTTCAAATAAAATAAAAACACGTGATGACGAGGATCTTTCGCGCTATAGGGATGTTGTTCCCGCGTTGTGGTGGGAGAATAATTAGAAATTGTTTTAGAATAACCGTCAACCCGCCAATTAGATTTAAGATCAATATTTCAATTAATTAAATATTGATATATATTTTTCAATTATTTATTATGAATTCTCAATTTTAATTGTATAATATTGATTGCTTAGGATCATGATTGAATTTGTAAAGCAAATTTTGTCGCTTCGTTTTTTAAGGTTGTTTGAATCTATAGAATAAAAGATTGATTGGTTGTTTGGCAAATGTCTGATGGGAATATGTGATATTTGACTCAATTTCGTTAGTCAATTCAAGTGTTTTGCTTAAAATCAATCAAAATTTCAATAAACATATGATAAATTGTTTGTGTAAAAGCGAATCACTTTGCATTTATAAAATTATTGAGATTCAAGAGTCATAACTCATAAGGAAGAGCCAAAGAGTGATATAATCACTACTCGGTAATTTGTTTTCTTTGATTCTCTTTAATTTTTATAAGATATTATCTTAGTGAGTTTCACACTAATGTAATAAATTCAGGATGCTATTTTGTCGAGTTTCTTCATTCAACTTCCGGATTAGATTGGAGAAAGAAACCAATACAATTAGGTAAAGGGGTCTATGCTTATAGTGGATTTCGTCGTGGAGGGGAAAAAATGAGAGAGAGAGGAAAAGTTAGGAAAAGGTCATTTGGTTCAGGCTCCAAGTGGAGAATGGTGGTTGGTTTAAGATATTCCTTCCTTTGGACGACGTAAGCAATTACAAAATGATATGGTTAGAAAAAGAAAGTTCTTACATGAATAATAAGATAATTTGCAACGTCATTGAGACAAATTAATCACGATTTAAGGTGTGAATCATATTGTCAAAGGAAGACATTTTTATATAAGTGGTAGTTGGACTATTTTTAGGTAGGTCATTTACGGCAACTAGTACTTTCAAGTGCAAAATAATAATTTTCTTGATATTTAATTTCATAATTCAAGATGATATTTTTAGTAGTATTTCACAATCCACTTGATTCACTAGCTTTCACGTAGATCTCAAACTAGTAGGTACGTGTTATCTTCCTTTAATCGTGTATTGGAAGCTCTAGAACGTACACCTCGAATAGTAGTTGTCTAATACAATCATACATGGACTCTCAATTTCAAAACAATCTCGAATTTTATTGTGTTTAAACCGTGTCTTGAAGCATTTTAAAGAGAACAGATGACTAAATTATTGAGGTGCTAACATTTTAAATCAACATAGAGTATATTCAAGTAAAAGACAACATAATAAGTACATACATGACATCCATAAGGACCATATATGTCTTAGAATATTATCTTGTTTGGTGTAGCTTAAAAAGATGATACAAATTTAAGTCAAAGTCAAAAATCAATTTTAATTAGAAATTTCATGGAATCCACAATGTTCATCATCTTTTCAATCACAAAATTTATATATTTATCAAAATCTACTAAAAATCTGATTTTTAGCTATACCAAACAATATATTTCTATCAACATCTTGAGTCAAGTTTGAATGACAAACTGAATCAAGTTTAGGAATCCATAATGATAATTTGAATATAATTGAATTGAATTGAATTCCACCTTCCACGACTTTTAATTTCGAAAATTGAGGTATGCACAATGAGTGGTGTTAGGGGTAAAAAGAAAAATAGGAGACAAAAGGCAGAATCCCAGGAGTAAAATGCCAACGGGAAGCACAACATGAAGTGTGAAACAAAGGAAACGTCAAGGTTTTCTTCAAGCAAAAGAGAAACAAGGAACCCATAAATTCTCGCTAACTGTAACAAAGCTCGTCGATTTTTTATTTTAATTTTTTATACACATATACGTAATAATATAATTTCATCCCACCATTCCGAGACAGTAATCTCGAAAATCAAACCATTTGATTCTATAAATTTTCGTACTTCGTCGCACGCTTAATGGTACTTAAAAAAGTTTATTTTAAGTTGACACTTTTCCTCCTTCGAATATAAATAAGTCAAATATAATTTTGAATGACACTTGAGCACGTTTAAAATTTTCTAATGTGTGGTGAATGGGGACCAGTGGAAACGAATTGCGAGATCACGTAATTTGGTCCGTTAAACATTAGAAATCACATGTTAGCACGTTCTTAATTAATTATAAAAAAATCTTACATTAAAATAATATTTGATGGCAGCAAGACTTGCGTTTGGACATCCCACTGGGACCAAGTTGGTTCGAGGGGATCAATCTTGCATAATTCAGTGTATGTGAACTTATTTTATGTTGTTTACTTCACACGCGTATTCTAGTTTATTATTTTACATTGTGCAAATTTCACAACAAAAAAATGAAAAAGAAATTATCAATGTAGATAGTTGACTAGTGACTAGTCGAGACTTAACAATTGTTTCATACTTTTTAACTCCAAATATCAAGGTAAATAGGTTAATTTTAAAAAATGAATATGTATTTCTTTTCAAGATATGTCATTAAGTGCCTGTTTGAACCACATTATTCCAAAAAAAATACATTCTTAAACAGTGATTTGACATCATTTCAACCTCACATTTTTCAATAAAATAATATTACAGACAGATCAAAACTTTCCTTATTTTTTAGCCATACATTTTCCATCATTACACTATTCAATAATGCATTATTACCAAAATAATGTGGTTCAAACACCCCCTAAATCTATTTATTTGTCAAGAAATTGAATCAATCTTTCTACTAATAAGAACATACGCCTAAATTCGAAGCTCTAATCTTCATCTCAATATGTGTCAAGTGATACATTAAGTCTAATGTTGAATCACTTAAATTGAGTATTTACTCTGTCAAATTGAATAATTTTTTTATATATATAATTAACACCATTAGCACATTCTTTATGTGCATATCATTTTTTTTTTTTTTAATTGAAGGTATGATATTGTTGAGTAAAAAAATCAAGTCCTTATTTAGTCCTTATTTTTCATTAAATTCATTTTCAATCACATGTTTTATAAATCCACAATTTTATTAATTTTTTAATTATATATTTTGTTAAAATGAAATTGGAATTAAGTATTAGTTATGGCAACTTGTTGAATTTATCTATGTATGTTAAAAATTTAGTCCATGTTTGACAACCATTATTCAAAAAAAAAATTTTGAACGTCCTCATTTTTAACAACACAATAAAATATTATGTATGAAAGTTCAAAATTTTTTCTTATTTTTTAATCAAATATTTTTAAAAAAAATTTACTATTTAAAAATTTATTTTTATCAAATAATGATCATCAAAAAGAATTAATGTTGTCCGAATTTCGAAGTAATAAAGTAAAATATTCTCAACACTTAAATTTTATGAAAAATTGAAAGCACAGAAGTTATGAATAGTAGTTAAAGACATTTCAATCTCCAAGGCTGCACTGACGTGCTCCCATCTAATTCTGGTAACGCTGACCAAATGGTTTAAACTACAAGCCGCCGCCGCCGCCGCCCGCCCACTGAACTTGGCCCTTTCCCTGCTTTTCATCTCTAAGATATATACACATACAGTTGATTTTCTGGTCAGTATTATGTAAGACTTGGGACCCATTAACCAACCTTTTTAGGACCAAATTAAGTGTATTTATTCCGAGGTTTCGGGACTTGAACCTAGACAATTTATCGCGTTTTCGGGTTCAACTAGCATAACTGATTTAACAAAATCAGGCATTGAGCTCATCCTGATGGAGCTCGACATTCTAAAAAATTAAGGACCTGTTTGACCTATTATTTCAATCACCTATTCAGTAATAAAATAATTTGATATTATTTCAATCACCTATCCTTTAATAAAATAATATTATACATAAATTCAAATTTTTTTCCTATTTAAAACAACACATTTTCTATCAATACACTATTCAACAATACATTCTTATGAAAATAATGTGGCTTAAATAAGGGATAAGTTAGAATAATGAAAAAACTATATCGGTTGCTGACCATAACATGTCCAATCGTTTCTGTCTGAACCAAACTGTCCCCAATAACCTGTTCATAACACGAACTTCATGCGTCCACAACTTGAGCCTGTTTAGCAACCTAATTTTTTGAGGAGCACGCAGTTGAAGTGTGCCTGAATGTCCTACAATTTCCACAAAATTTAGTCTCAAACTCATAAATATAAAGTGTTGAACTCTCAATTTTTTGGTAGGGAAATTCATCTCAACTGTACACACCAAATTTTTAAATGCATCAACTTCCACAAGGACTTGAGCATATGTCAATCTTCCCTTAGTAGACGTGAGTTTATCCGTAGATATGGGTTTACCAACCTTTGAAGCAATTCTAGAGGAGAAAAAAAAGAGAAAAAAAGACCTTTACAATTCCAACAATTTACTTGTAGACCCCATAATTTTATCCACACCAACATAGTACTAAACCCATCATCATCGAATTCAAAACAACGGTGCATAACCTTTAACGTTAATGGCCTATAGAATATTACATTATAATTCAATTGTCGAATCTTCGATCCTATTGTTTGGTACAAATTATGGGTTGAGGGCCTTGAGATGTCTAATGTTGGGGTGGAGAAAAATATGATCGATCGTCGATGTCAATGCAAATGAATTTGGCAGAAAAATGCTATTATATTAGGTAAAAATGACAAACATAAGAATTGCGATAATAAGGAGATTTGGGTCTTGATAGAATTTGGGTGACAAAAAATGGAAGGAAAAAACTCGTGCAAATGGGGAAAAAATAAAAATATCTATGAGGTCATCATCTGACTCCACATGGGCCATGTTAGGCCACGAGAAAGACCAATTTTTTATTAGTTAATGTTGGGCTGCCTTACACGTCCTAACTTCAGAAAATTTTGATGAAATATAGCGGCCAATGTGTTATTTGGTTCGAATCTTGTCTTTACACAAAAC